TCCAGAATACATAAAAAATAGTTACAACTCAATAAAAAGACAACCTGATTTTATTTATTTATTTATTTATTTTTGAGTTACAGTCTCATTGTGTCGCCCAGACTGGAGTGCAGTGGCTGCTCCCGGTCACCGCAGCCTCGCCTGCTGGGCTCCGGCAATCCTTCCGCCTCAGCCTTCCGAGAAGCTGGAATTACAGGCATGTGCTACCATGCCCAGTTGACTTTTTGATTTATTGTAGAGATGAGGTCTCGCTGCCCAGGCGGGTCTCGAACCTGCGGGCTCAGGCAATCCTCTCACCTCAGCCTCCCAAAAGCGTGGGATTACAGGCTGAGCCACCAAGCCCAGATCTGATTTTTTTTAAAGGTAAAATATTTTAACAGATACTTCACTAAAGCAGATACACAAATGGCAAATAAGCACATGAAAAGATGCTTTATATACTCAACATTAGGGAAATACAAACTCAGCAGTGCCACTCCTAAATATTAACCAAAGAGAAATGAAAACATAGGTTCACACAAAGACTTGTACTTGAATATTTTTATCAGCTTTATCACAATATCGATAAACTGGAAACAACCCAAATATCCATTAAGTTGTGAATGGATAAATAAATTAAATTACTTCCATGCAATGGAATACTTTCACTAATGAAAAGGAGCTAACTACTGATGCACATAAAAACCTGGCTCAATCGCAAAAGCCATAAGCTAAGTAAAAGAAACAAGACATAAAAACCATACAAGATTATATACTATATGATTAAATTTAAATTAAATTCTAGAAAATGCAAAATATTGTGTTGCCACAAGGTATACTGGGTGCCAGAGGTGGTGGGGGGAACAGGTAGCCAAGGGCTGTGAGGGTATATTCTGGAGTGGTGAAGAGTTTCCACATCATGACTCTGCTGATAGGTCCACGACTCTATACATGGTCAAGACTCACTGAACTGTACGCTTAAAATTGGTGAATTTTGTGGTATAAAAGCTATACTCAATAAAGTTTATTTTATTTTTTAAAAGACTGAAGTTTTTAAAAAAATTTAACCTATAAATCGATAGGAGGAATATAAATAAGCAAAGAATATGAACATACAATTCAGAGAATCAAAGTCAAATGGTCATTAAACATATGAAAAACCTGGGCTCGGTGGCTCAGCCTGTAATCCCACGCCCTGGGGAGGCTGAGGTAAGTGGATTGCCTGAGCCCGTGGGTTCGAGACCCACCTGGGCAGGCGAGACCTCATCTCTACAATAAATCAAAAAAATTAGCTGGGCGTGGTAGCGTGCACCTGTAGTTCCAGCTACTTGGAAGGCTGAGACAGAAGGATCGCCGGAGCCCAGCAGGTCAAGGCTGCGGTGGCCGGGAGCGGCCACTGCACTCCAGTCTGGGTAACAGTGAGACTCCAACTCAAAACAAACAAACAAACAAAAAAACATATGAAAAGAGTTTCAACCTCAGCAGTGATCATGAAAACGCAAATTAAAACCACAGAGACAAATCACTTCACATTCTTTCAAATGGCGAATATTTGGGCTTCATAAAAAGACTGGTGAGGATTTGGAGCAATGTCTGTCTAAAATACTATAGCCCTTATAAAAATCAATTTGACACAATCAAACATGCATTATCTAGAAATACCACTTGTAGGTATCTAACCCAGAAAAATCTCACTGTGTACATAAACATTATGTTCCACATCATTTTTACAAGTCCAGTGTGCTATCCATTGCACCACAGAACCAGCTAATATCATTTTGCATAGCTAAAATGTAGGAACAACTTAAACATCCACTAATGAGAGACTTGCTAAGTAGATAGGACTACTGTACATTCACAAAGTGACACCGTGTCAAGTACAGTGACAAATGTCACCAGTAGGGAAAGCTCAAAACTGTACTCATTTTTAAAACTGCAAAATAATATGAAGATTATGTCATGTACATTATTTTAAAACACAAAAATACTATTGATTCTACACACAAACATGTAATACACATGTGCGTATATAAACAAAGACAGAATATCAACTTCAAGACAGTAATTACCCTTTGTTACAGGAATGCTGGGAAAGAAAGCCACTCTACATGCTGCTGGCAAAATCTCCACTTCTCCTCCCCCGACAACAATCACTCCTCAATTTTAAACTCTGCCTAACAGAACTGACAGTGTCATGCTGCACACAGTTACTGGCCTCAGTCACTACACGAAGCCTATGACTACTCCCACACAATTGCACACTTCCTCGTTGCTCATGACCTGGACACTGACTGCCTTGCAGCTGGGTACAGTGCCGCAACGGACATCATCTTCCATCCTTTCACAATCCCAAACCCTTCCCTTCACATTCTCAAGCATTTCTATCAGCAAAATGCCCTGTATCCTCTAACTCTCTTCTGCATGTTCCCATCCTTTTCTCCAAGGTACACGTGGGTCTCCCCAAGGCTTCTCCTGCCACCCTCTCAAAAGGTGGCTGGTCTTTCCCCCACAATCTCCACACCACCAGGCCTCCAGGCAGGGAAGCTGTCGAAGTTGATCCTCACTGCTTTATTCAGAATCACTGCACTTCCTTCTTCCCTAGAAACTCTGGCTTTAAAGATTATGCCCCTAGACTCTGTCACCTGCCACCATTCCTGACTACATGAGACCCCAGATGACTTCTCTTACTTTTAAAAAATATCGGTACCGTTATTCACTATCACTCTCTCCAATATTACCCCAGTTTAAAAAAAGTACTGCTGATTCTAACACTCATACAGAGAGTACCTTAAAAATGCTGACCTCTTCATTCCCTGACCCCTCATCTCCAATGATCCTGTTCCCCTCCCGCTGGGACCACCCACTCCACTGGCTCAGCCTATGTCCACAACAGATCTTTCCCACTTCCTTCCCAAGCATTTCACTCACCAACCACCACTCTGAACACATCATTTTTCCACTCCCTCATGACCCACAACCCACTGATCCTATCCCATCAGTTCCCGTTCTTATTTCCCTCCTAACCAAACAAAGATTCCAAAGTCAATATTTTAATGACTCAACTTATTTTCTTCTCACTGTTTACTAGCCTGGCAAAACTTCAAACCAGATTAAATCCAGTCTCTAACCTTGCATGCCTTAACCTGCTAACTATAGCTGGAGAAAAACATTCCCCATGCCACTTGCTAATACTTTAAATTCATGAGGACTAACTCCAACAGGCTGTTGGTCCTGTCCCACAGTCCCACATTTCCCTAATACATTTCCTAGAAAACTATTTCCTATCCCCTTTTCTTAATACAAACCCCTGTGCCTGAGGCTTCAAGTCTATCCTCATTCTGTTTTTTCCCTACTCTGCATCCTCTTCCCCGCTCCATGTCCAGCTTTTCTTCCCAACCACCAGCACTCTGAGCAACAGCAACCTCAGGCCTCCTACCAGACATCTGTCTGCAAAGTCAAAGCCACAAAGAGAAAACAGCCTTCCCTGACTTTTATAACCGCCCCTCTTTGAACCCCGCTCCAGCAGCTCAAAATGCCCAGTCTTCTAGTTTAGTTCCTCTAATAAATATCTAACTCCATAACACTCACAATGTCTGCTTCCCTGACTGAACCCTGAATTTTTGGTATAGGAAGTGGTCAAAATAAGATCTTCAGGATAAGAACCTCAAAGTGCTTCTCTGATTTCAATAAAGACATTAATAACCCAGTTTCCAGTGGTAAAGGGGTACTAGTAGTCCATGGCATTAAGTGGCAAAATACTTTGATTATATTACCTGCAGTCAAGGACCTATAGAAGACAGAGTTCTGGGTAACTAAATAATTGCTGCTATGGAAGATCTTAGTAAAAATCCACTGTATAATGGGTTCACTAGTTGCTTCTTACACAGGAGAATTCCTTTCTCAGGAAAAGAAAATGATGAGCTCAGGGATTTGAATGCACAGCTCAAGGTCTAGGTAAGGGACCAGAAATCTAGGACTGCCTAAGAGAAAGCCCCTTGCCATGTGGCCACAGGGTTGAGATTTCTGAAAAGCATATCCTGCAGGTGGTGAAGTTATAATGCCAATTAATTCATACATTTCAGGGCATCTTATGTTCAAGTTAGAACCTTGAGTGAGGAGAGAGGCCTGAAAAGTAGGATATCTGGGCAGATTCTGATGGTGCCAAGTACCCTGAATCCCTCAACTCTGTGAATCATGCTTGCCAGGAGAAGCAGCCCTCTATCCCAGTCTGAGGAGTGCTAAGGGGTGATGACACCCTCCCTGAAGCAACTGCCTTCCAGGCAACTGTTGATCTTCCTGGAGAACCACACCTAAAACTTCTCTTTATCTAGATCCAAAACCAGACTCAAATCCCAGGAGGTCCTGGGGTTGGACACAAAATGCAATGTGTGATGATACCTAACACATACCACGAGAGCCACAAGACTTGGCCGATGTATGTTAACAGAAAGCTGGGAAATACACATCCCAGGGTCCCCTTCCCTGAAAGGTTCTGCCTTAGAACTAGACAAAAGGAAAACAGTGCCCCGCTGAGAAGACAGAAGAAAGGAAGGTCATGTGCTCTGAAGGCCGGGTGGCCTGAGGCTATAAGAGAGGAGGCCCAGGGGCTACAGTGTGTTCACTCCCTTCTCCCTAGTCCTGTCCCCTTCCCATGCCACAGTTCCTCTCAATCACCAGCCCTGCTGACCAACAGCAACCCCAGGCATACTAGAAACTGACTAGGAACTGGCAAACATGGTGGCCAACCAATCCACCCCTCCAGTGCTACGCCACAGCAGCGCAGTGACTGTTTTCATGACTGCTGCGTAGAATCTGTGAGGAACAGTTTTACACTGCATGCTTTCTTTCATTTCCATGTGTCCTTTAAGGAGCATGTGTAAGTTTCATAAAGTTAAATAGTTTTAAGTAACTGTCAACATTTCAAGCAACCCTCCCCTAATCTAGAAGGCCCCAAGTTCCCTGAGGAAAACAAATAAATAAAAGCTTTTTCACCCTGTAAGAATTTTTTTAAAAAGACTTACATCATTAGACTGAAACAATCGAGTCATTGCAAAGAAGGCTTCTGTAGCTTCTGTAGTCCCAAAGTGTTCACCCTAAGTAAAATTCAAAACAATTTTTAAACTTAAAAACACATAAGTATATATATATTTATTTATATGCATATAAATTTCCTAATTACATCTGTAAAAGTCTTTTAGAACTCAGGAAAAAAAACTCTTTGTAAACATTGGGGGGGCACTTTACATCAACAAGGGGACATGATCTCACATCAGACAAAGTAGGGACCAAGGGGATTCCCAAAGTTTACCCGTAAAACAACCACTTATCTACCTAATCCTGAATTGTACACCACATCTTTAAAATAAATAAATTTTAAAAACCAAAAACATTCTGCCTCTTTACAATTTTTCTGGCTTTCAACTTATATCCACTCTTTATTTAAAATAGCCCAATATCACAGATCATGCTTAAAAGTTGTGGAATATGGCCAGGTATAGTGGTGAGGGCCTGTAATCCCAACACTTTTGGAGGATGGGGCAAGAGGATCTCTTGAGGTCAGGAGTTCAAGACCAGCCTGGGCAACATAGCAAGGCCCCCAGCTCTACAAAACACAAAAAATAAGATAAATAAATCAGTCAGGCTTGGTGGTGAGTGCCTGCTGTCCTAGCTACTCAGGAGGCTGAGGCAGAAGGATCACTTGAGCCCAGGTGTTCAAGGTTGCAGTGAGGTAGGATTGTGTCACTGTGTTCCAACTTGGACAAAAGTGTAAGACTCTGTCTCAAAAAAAAAAAAAAAAAAAAAAAGTGCTGGAATAGTGGTCTCTAACATTTTAGCAAAAACTGCTTTAAATTTCCCTGTAGAATTGTGATGTACAAGGATGTAGAAAATAATAGCAGTATTAATAATAATAGGATGCTATTATTCCATTTCCTAAGAGTAGAGATCACACCTTACACTATAAATTTCTATAATATACTGCCAAGCACAATGCCTAACATATCATAGGAGCATACTAAATATTAAACTATAAAGAACTATTAGCAATACCAGCAAACATGGCAAAAAAGGGACCACCCAAAAGAGCAGAACCAGATTCACCACATACAAAACAAGGCCTATGGGGCTGCAATAGATTTCAATGTTGGCTCAAGCCCCTGAAAACATGCTTTGTAACAGGGCATCACAAACTTTAATGTGTATAACAAATTTTCCAGGGATCTTGCCAAAATGCAGATTCTGATTAAGTGGCTCTGGGGATAAAGCCTGAAACCTGGCATTTCTAACAAGCTTCCAGTGATGCAAATGATGCTGATCTGGAAACCACATTTTTTGTGTAGCAAGGTGTTAAATAACCTATTTCACTCATATACAAAACATTTAGGTCACAGATTACCTGAAATATTACCATTTCAATATTTAACTTCCTCATTCAAAGCAATCTTAATATGTTAGACTAAACCACTTCAGAGTTTCTAATTTCACATAAAACATAACTAGTCTTCAATCTATTTGCTATAGACATAAGAATAAATTTTAATGAGTTTAAGATGAAAGACAAAGTTTAACAAGTTTATCATTACTTAAATTAGAGTATCCAGCCTGCACATCAGCAAGAGATTTCTCTCTTTCTTTCATAAATATTTATGGAATACCTAGAAGCCCATGTGTTTTTTAGTTACACTGGAAAACCATAAGACCCTACTTTTTACTGGAAAGTCAGAGAATATATGGCTATGTTAACTCTGGTAGAAATTCACAATATTTTTCCATAAAGCTCTACCAAGAACTAGACAAAGAGCTAAAACTTATGTTGCCAAACCTGTCTATGAAGTTAATTGTGCTTATGCTGTGCTTATTAATTTCCTTATCAAGATAATTAAATGTTTCAGCATGAGTTGCCCCATCAAAGAGATACTGACCAACGTAAAAATATGTACTACTCTGAACCAAATGTGACGACTTACAACTCTTGCTTATACAATGGATTTAGACAACTTGAACACAATGTGTGCTATGAAAAGCTAAATCAAATTGACTTTTCTTAAATGTTTCTAATATGCTGACACAGAAGGATTATATTGCTGTGAACAGATATATTTTATTTAAAACGATGTGCTTGTTGCTCAGTCTTCATTTGCAAACAACACAACTATTAAATCTCTGGATGAGGACTTCGGCCACAAAATATAATAAAGATAAAATATTTGTAGAATTCAAGCTGGAAACCATAGTCATCTTAGTACCATATGTAAACCACCTGAGATGTGATATATATAATACACACACACACACACACACACACACACACACACACACATATATATATATACTGTATATATGTCTGTGTGTGTGTACATTACATATACAGTCAGCCCTCCATACCAACAGGTGCTGAATCTGTAGATTCAACCAGCCTTGGATCAAAAATATTTAAGAAAAAAAATGTTTGCTTGTACTGAACATATACACACATTTTTTTTCCCTTGTCATGACTCTCTAGACAATGCAGTATAACATCTATTTACATAGCATTTACACTGTACTAGGGATTGTTAAGTAATCTAGAGATGATTTAAAGTATATACAAGGATGCATATAAGGTCATATGCATATAAGATCATATGCATTTCCTATCAGTGACTTGAGTGCCCATAGATTTTGGTATCCACAGGAGGTCCTGAAGCCAATCCCCCATTGATACTCAGGGACTATGAATCCACAAAACAAAATTATGTCTTCTAAAGCTCTAAACATTTCATGAGTTTTTTAAAAAGTCGCAGGTAAAAAACCATAAGAAAAAATAAAATTAATAACAATCATAGCAAATAGAATCTATGTTCCATGAGTGCAAGAATTTTTGCTGGTTCTGAATCTGCTGTATCCCCAATACCTAGAACAGTCTATAGGACATAGCAGCTACGCAATAAATATTTGCTGAATGACCAAAGGAAAATGCTTTCTGAATGGTAACTATGTGTTCAATACTATTCTCAGAACTTTACATTTATTATCTCTTCAGTCATTACTACTTTTTAACAGGTGTTATCATAATCCCCATTTACAGAAAAGGGCATGAGGTACATAAAATGGTTCAGTTTTTGTCCAGAGTCATACTGCTAGTAATGGGGGAGTACAGATAATAAATATAAAATCTGAATATTAAAGTCAAAACTTTAAAACATCACTATTATATGGGGAAAAAATACCTGGTATTTGCCTGATTTTATCTTCAGAGAGACATAAAGACCTCTAAACAAATGTAAACAATATGTTCTAACTAGTACTCATTGACTTCAAGTCAAAGGATTTCTTCAAAACCTGCTATAGGCTGGGTGTTGTGGCTCAGCCTGTAATCCCAGAACTTTGGGAGGCCAAGGCAAGAGGATTGCCTGAGCCAGCAGATTCGAGACCATCCTGGGCAACTTGGTGGGACCCTGGCTCTACAATAAATAAAAAAAAATTAGCCAGATGTGGTAGCACATGCCTGTAGTTCCAACTACTTGGAAGGCTGAGGCAAAAGGATCACCTGAGCCCAGCAGGTTGAGGCTGTGGTGGCCGTGGCAACAGAGTGAAACTCTGACTCCAGTCTGGGCAACAGAGTGAAACTCTGACTCAAAAAAAAGCAAAAAAAAAAAAAAAAAACAACCATACTATATGCTTAGCTGGCTTAGTAACTCATGAATAAAAAAGTACAGATTGAGCATCAGTAATCTGAATATCCAGAATGCTCCAGAATCAGAAACCCTGAACACTCTGTTACTCAAAGCAAACACTCATTGCAGCATTCTGGATTTTAAATATTTGAATTGGGAATGTTTAATCAGTATGTACTCTGCAAATATTCCAAAATCCCAAAATACCTGAAATCTGAAACACTTCTAGTCCCAAGCATTTCAAATAAGGGATAATCGTCCTGTATATAATCACAGATCTCATGCTCAAGAAATTGTACATACTATTTTGTTAACCAAACACTGTTGATGTTAAAATTAAGTGAATTTAAAATAAATAAACAATTACACTTTCCAGAAAGCACTTCACTGCATGTTAAGTATTTCCATTCCAGGGCAATCTGAGGAAAATCAAAATAATTTACCTGGTTCAGTAAGTAAAGAATCTTTGTAAGAATATGCAAACATCTTCTTGGATTGATGGGAGTTTCATTGAATATACGAGCCTATGGAAATATAAAAACATTGTTTTATATAGAATTTTTTCTATCTTTTATTACTACAAACCAACTTTAATAAAAAACTATTTTAATCCCAAATCTAAATAGCTGTCTTCAGTTCTCCTTTGCAATAGTATAAAATAAATTACTAGATGTGGCCTTGATTTCCCATTCTGTACTTTCCAACTCATTCCCTTAAGTCGGCTGCTTCAGTGCTATGGGCTTTATCTGTTAAATAAGAATCACAATATTTACCCATATCATATGAATACAATGAGCTTAATATCTATAACATCTTTCAGTAACCTTGCACTAAACACCTCTCCCAACATTTTATTTACAATTCCCAGCACATGGCAGAGCCTGCATGTCTTTGTATTCATATAAGCCCTAGAATCTCCTGTGACAAGTAACCTCTCTTCCTTTTCCCTCAAGTCCATAGTCTCTGAACTCTATTACATTCATTTTGGAAGTCCCTGTGACAGTATCCCAGGGATTCTCTGCCCACCATTCTAAAATAGGATAGTATAAAAAAGAGAGAGTACATGTCCAAGTCATACCTCCTGTAAGACAGCACTCTTCTCCAGATGCTGGAAAGGATTGGAGCCACTCCCTATATCATAAAACAAAAAAAGTCTTGAATAGCAGTCCTACACAACCTTATACACTTTCTAGAGAAGTGTATAAGGGAACTGAGTGCTTGGGAAATTTCACCTAAGGGAGGTGACCACTTGGATGTCACAGTGATGATCACTACTAAGGTGTATATAAATTGAGTGAAACCATCTTGATTCTGGCACTAGCTCTGTCATTGCCATCTTGTAGGAAGAGCTTGGACTTGGCTTTTGCAGGACCCCCGTCCAAAATAAGTTTCTTCTTTCCCTGCCCTCTTTTTCCATGATTGTTGAAAGTATGTTATTTCCCCAACACCCCCAAGATTAATGAGACTGTGATCGGGCATTTGATCTCCCTAAAGGTAAGCTCTATTGTATGTTTCCAGCATTTACCGAGGCAGAAACGAAGAGTTTTACAGAGAATCACACAGACGTACAGCTAGAAGGGGCCACGGAGGGTCAACCCTCTCCCACATTGTGAGCGCAGCTATCCAACACCGAGAACAATGTTTTCTTTTCGAGGAGGCTTGGCACCTTCCCCACGTGCTCTGGCCCCAACACGAGCGTCGAGTCCCTTCCGGGCGCCTGAGCACTGCAGGGGCCGTGTCCCCCGGGACGCTCCTGCCCCTGGGCACCGCCGGTGCCGAGAGCCCCCAGGAAGACTGCAAAGTACAAGTCGTCCCCAAGTTCATCACACACGCTGCCCCGTCGACCCCGGCCCGGAGCATAGGACGCTCCCGCTCGGACCCCTGCCCAACAGCAGCCCCGCCTCGAAGCGCGCGCACGCTCCGCCCCGCCCCGCCTGGGGCTCGCGGA